ACCCGTAAACAGGTCCTTATTAATCCTAAGTAGGCATAAAAACAGTCGTTTTCCAGGAATAAAACGCGTAATCCCACTACACCCCGGCGCGGATAGGTAAAAAGCATTTTGTGCCAGGCTTTTTCTCACATGTGGCCGGTTGATCCGATGAATGTAGGAACAAAGAAAATGAGCGTTCAGAAGGTTGTCTACCTATAGAAGCGAAGAGACTCGTTCCAGGGAACAGCCTAAAAGGAAAAGGAGAAATGGGATCGCTGGAACGCGGAGTTTATTCGCCCGTCGTTTCGGGTCGTCGCTTGAAGTCATCATCAGCACCAGTCACCAATAGCCAGACGGGGATGTACGTACAATCATCGCACCAAATACGACCCCCAGAGGTTAATACGCCGGTTGCTGGTTACTACAGAAATGTGGTTGCGTGATAACTGCGACTTATAAGTATCGCGCCCCGTGCGTATTCATCATTCTTATCTTCAGGAGTCATTATCGTGGAGTTCATTAGCCCCAGCTGACGTAAGGACAATCCGCTCCCGCCCTCTAAGCAGTCCGATCATCCAGTTGTTAAAAAGGTTCGTCTGAACAGTCCTGTTGCACTGTAGGATGTGGTTATGTAGCCCCACCCGATGGACACAATACTGTTGGAGTTCAAGTTAAGGGTTGGGGTTAGAGGTCAGGGGCAGGGGTTAAGGGTTAGGGTTAGGGATTAGTTGTTAGAGGTTATTGGTTATGGCAAATATTTCCCATTAGCTTTTTTGCATAAATTACTTGACCTCTTTGCCTGTGCGTTCCCCGGCCCCACCTGTAAAAACCCTATTACCACCGGTTCCGTATTACAGGTGGCTGGTTTTTGTTTTTTAAGGAGGGACACCATATCCACATCTGCACCTTACAGTCGGTCTGTCGCAGATACTTTGGTCCTTTGGCACTGTAATTCGGCTTCCCTGGCCTCCGTTACCTGGCGTAAGTATGGTCAACCACAAGCTGGTGGTCGGACAAAGGGAATATGCACTACAGGTGGCCTCGCGCAGTGTTAGTGGGGTCCATATTCTCGTGTGCTAATTTTAACCCTAACCCTAGCACAAACAGTCACCCTAAGCATCCCTGGAGTTTAGGGCAAAACGACGTTTACTACGTTGGTGTATATTCCCGTGTCCAACCGGACTGGTTTAGTGATCATCCCCCCTAAATGCTCATTGAAAATGTCTAGTGTTTACTATAAAGTACTGTGAAAAGTTGATTTCTGACAAGTGTTTGTGGCGCTTTAAGCGGGGAACTCTAAAAAGTGATGAAAACGCATGTTTGAAATGAACCCAAACGATTAGTTTGGGATCCTTAGGTGCACGGAAGAGGGAAATTCGATTTCAGAACAAGCGCATATTGGACCTTATTAGCGCAGGAATATTATGAGTAGTTAATGCATGCCTATCGATCAGAGAACTTTCGTTTTAAAACTAACGATTGTAAAGGTGGACTATTCATTCATTTTTCGAATAAATGAGTGAAATCTCGAGGATATTGGAAAATCCGAGTATACAGGGTAAACCGAACCTTTAAGAACGTAAGCTGAGACTGAGGTGGACAAAATCATTTGATAGAAAAAATGAAAATACGACAGATCATTTCGACCGCCGAGAGCGGCGATGCTACCAAGAGTCACACGGAGTGGTCTTAGCACCGGTGACTTCAGCATGAATCAATTAAAAGTGAGCCAGATCTGGGCACCATCTATAGCCCTCTCTCCTTCCTCACCCACAGTGTGGCCCAGAGTTGGATGCGCGCAGGGACGACGACTGAATTGCGGTAGACTTGCGCAGCATCTACCGCACTCACTCCTTCCTCACCCATCCAACTCTGGTGGCAAGACCATGTCAAGACGACTGGAGGTAACGGAAACCTAGAGGCTATTAACTGCAAACTCATGACCTGGTCTCTACTACTTGCCTCAGGCTTCAGTGTGCGTAGGTCGGATCTCTCATTGTGAGAGTGCAATAGAGGTCACACTAAGAAGGAGCCATAATAGCCTGACCTTCAACCCTGAGCAAGACTGAATTATCCCATCATCCGGCTGCCTACAAAACCCCAACACTTAGTCCGCTCGATCCCTTATAGTATGGAATGTGCGTATGTATTTTAGGGGTGGATTCCCGCGTCCCTTTCATTCGTCCTTTCTTCTCCCGGGCACCCATTGACTTGTAGTGACATTTAAGTCCGTTCTGTTTTAATCATTTATAGTACTCTAGTTAAATAACTTGACACAACTTTGAATCAGACAAAGAACTAGCACGTGCAATTTTACCTGCTGACGTCTTTGTTCTTATTTACTAGTTTGTAACTGTTGGGATGCTTCCATCTTCGTTTCCCGGATAGCCTACTTACTGTGCCCAACTAATGGGTTTATCACTTACATTGGTGACCCCGGCGTGATTCGAACACACAACCTTCTGATCTGGAGTCTGAGGTTGCCAGTCACCGGGCGCAATGGCTCATGGGGCGTGATGACTTATACCTACGTCAGCAGTTATGAGCTCGTGCAATCCCAGCACAGTCCCATTAGCACCTGTCGTGAACCGGCCTGACCATCGTTTCGGTGCGACGCATCTGCAGCACAGCTCGTCGTTAGGGCGCCCATATTCTTTAGTATTTGCATACCATAGCATTATTGCATAAACTCACCCCTTCTTCCTTTTACAACCTCGCACGTCTTCTGAAACGGACGTTTCATATTTTCCTTAGCCATAACGCCGCCGATGGCAGCCTTGAAAAAGTAAGCACGCTTGTTGATCTCTACACCTGCAGTGCCCCAGACGTAGTAGTGTAGATGGTTTAACTCGGACCATCTCGGAAGTCAATAGTCAACAGTGATGTGGACGGAGATGCTATCATTAAAACGAATAAAAGACACCTTATCAACACCTGTGGTCGTGACGGAGACCTCATTGAAACTGAAGGCAGTCTTATTAAATAAAGCTTTGTTATGTGTGTGCGTAGGTGCATGCGTACTTAATTCTGTGAATGTGAGGGTTTTCGGCCGTCGGCTTCGACTATGTCCACCGTGTGTCCCATAGCAGGGTGAGAGCAGGGACGATGAATTGCGCGGACATTAGTGGTGATAACAGCAAACTTGCACATCATCTCCCACACTCTCCCCCACCTGGGCCCGGTGACATGACCATGTCAAGAAGACCGGAATTGGAAGGGGGCGCGAGTGGATGGAACGGCTGGAGCCCCTCCAGGAGTGCCACCACACCTGGGTCGGATCCCAAGGAGTGTCGTCAAGACGGAAAATTCGTACGTTCTTGGTTTAGTGTCTAGTCGGAGGGCGTGGAGATCTCATACAGAGTTTTCCGGCTTTTTTGACTCTGGAAATCCGACTGAAGACTTCCTTGTCGATTTTGTGCTGCGCGAGAGTGTGATCCCAATGGTAGATTTGCTAACTCATGAAATATTAGCCGAAATTCTGAAATGCGCTTTCGACTTAAAAAGATCATTTAAGTAGGCGTTTAATATTAATAACCGTGCAACATAATCCAATAAAAATTCAGTTACTTCAGAATGGCGGCTTCCGAACAAACTTCTTCGCGGCCGCCTGCAAAAATTTCACGGAAAAAGTGACGGTCAAATATGGTTATGCAGCCCCTCCTAAAGAAACAAACCCCAGCCACATGTAATACGGAGTCGGTGGTAATAGGGTTTTTACATGTGGGGCCGGAGAACGCACAGGCGACGAAGTCAGGTAGTTGTATGCAAAAGAGAAACCATTGGGAATGCGCGGTTGTAATTGGAGCGATTGAGAAATAGTTTCCCTAATTCTTAACCCTAACTGTAACCCTAACCCCAACCCCAACAGTAGTGTGTCCGTTAGCGGGGGGTACTTAACCGCATCTTACAAAAATGACTACTTAAATAACACGAAATTTTCTCCTCGATTTTAGATGCTCTTTTAAATTCCAGTATATCTCATGGAAAACATGCATGAAAATATTCACTATTTTACCCATTTGGTAGAAAATTACATTTTCTTTAAAGTTTATGCTGAAGGAAGGGTATAATTCGGTTCCAAAAAAGTTCCATATTATGAAATTTTTTAGGAACATGAAATGCCCGTTCACAAAACATCCTGTCTCTGTATTTATTAATGTTTCTTGTTAAGTTAACGATATGTTCAAGTCCATTGATAAATTTTACAAACCCCTATACGGTCTCCTCTTAATACCATAGAGAAGTGTGTATTGTCCTTACATGGAAAACATAAAGCATGTAGTTTGGAAACCCTGTGTGAAAGTGTAACGGCATGCCGGTTTCCAAATAGTTCGGGAATTAGAAAGGTTCTTTAAAACCGAATTATACACCTCCTTCAGTTTAAAATTTAAAGAAGACGAAATTTTCTGCCAACTGCGTAAGATAATGAATACATTTATGTACGCTTTCCATGGGATATATTCGAGTTTAAATGAGCACCGAAAAGCAAGGAGAAAATTTCGTGCTACCTAAGGAGCCACTTCTCGTCATGTAATTTTTGCACGTGGCCGTTAAGAAGTTTCTTCGAAAGCCGACACGCTGAATTAACTGAATTATTATTGGACTGTGCTGCACGGTTATTAATATCGCAACGGTACTCAAGTTATCTTTTTGAGTCAAAAACGTATTTCAGAACTTCGGTTAACATTTCATTAGTAAGCATATCTATTGTAAATCAGCAAAGTTGTCCACTGTTTCAAGTCGGCTGTCGTGGACATGGATTCGCAGAGTGTTGTATTCCGTGTTGGGTGACGGTAGGTGCATGACCACCGTTCGTCCGAAGTTGGCACGCCCGCCGGTGACGAAATCCACAATCCATTGCATGTCAGCTTCTAACACGCTGTTGAGCGTGCAGTTGTCCGCGAACAGCAAGTAGTGGAGAGTGTAGTCGTGCAGAGACGCGTTGGGGGCTGCATGCACCAGCTGTTGAGAAGATGCTTGTCAGTCCTGTGAGCGATGGGCATCCAGGGGCGTTCTTCACGTTAGGCGTGCAGGAAGCATGAGGCTGAAGAGGATAGCATCGGGAGTTGATCCATTGGTCGAATGTCGCCGTGCTTGTAGACGTTGATCGGAATCGCGTTCGATCCGTGGGCTTTCCTGCTGGACAGTTGGTGCAGAGTGTGAATTGTGTCTGAAAGAGAAGGCGGCAGTTCCAAGTCGTCATTCGTAGGTAGTCGGTCGATGGCGGCGTCGGAGATTGTAGAGAAGGACGCTTCCGAAGCGCTTCCGAATCTGTCAGTTCTCGGATAAAAGAATTGTCCCATCGGAGCTGAGAGGCAGTGCGGTCCCCTCAGTTGGGCTCCGTAGATCCCCTTGAGTGATGAGAAATTCTTGAGTTCATTGCGGTCAGCATGACCCTGGATTTCCTCGGTTTTGCGGGTACTCAAGGTGTCCTGCATCTCCCTCAGTCGGTACTGAACGATGCGACGATGGCGGACGAACGCCGCCTTCTTGACGTCTATTTGGTGGTTCATGCAAGCCTTGTGAAGCCTGTGCTTTTCAGCGAGCAGAATGCTGATGTCGGCGTCGTTATCCTCAAACCAGTCCTGATGTTTGCGACATGCGTGTCTGAGAACACTCAGGGCGGTCAAGCGAATAGAGCCCTGCAGTTAGAACCACCAATCGCTCACAGAGGGGTTTTCATCGGGAGCTTGCATGTCATCCAGTCACTGGGTCAGTTGGTTGCTGAAATGGAAACAATGAGCAGGCAAATGCAACAGATCAGTGTTTAGCTTACCTGGTGGTTGTTTACTTTGTGGCCTACCGCGCGGTTGTAGTCGGATCTTCATCTTGGAGACGACGAGGCGATGATCCGTCCAGCCGTCGCCGTTGCAGGCTGCCTTGGTTACCAGCGCGTCCTGTCGATCTCGCTTCCGAACGAGAACTTGGTTCAATAGCTGCCGGTGTCGCAATCGGGGCCGCACTCGAGTTGCCTTCTTCCGTGTAGGCAAGTGGAGGAAGGCCTTGGTCAGTAGGCTAGGAAGTCGTCAGCCGCCTTTTCACATCCCTTGGAGTCTAGGTTGCACACACACAGGGGGCAATCAACAGGCGCCACTTCATGCGGCCGTCTGGAGTTCTTGACAGATATGGTGCATTTACGACAAAGCAGATACTTCGAGAAACTGGGAAAGTACACCGACGGCGGATGGTCAGACGTGCAATAACAGTGAGGAGATGGAATGACGACTGTTCCCAGTTCGCCATTCATTCGACAGGACGCGACCATACCTTTAGTCGTAATCAGGCTGATGTTCTCGAGAAAGGTAGCAACACTGTAATGCAGGGTTATTAGGCCCGCAGTTGAGTAACAAGCGCGATGTTCTCCTCCTCCTCCTCCTCCTCCTCCTCCTCCTCCTCCTCCTCTTCCTCCTCTTCTTCTTCTTCCTCTTCCTCTTCCATATCCGACGCTGACGCCGCTTTCAGTAACGGCAACAGGGAGTCAAATGACGGAGTAATTACCAGGTCACTAGTCAACACCATTGACGAAAATGCAGCAACTAACGATCCAGATGCAGATCGTTAAGACAGTATCGCACCAATCGATGATGCATGTGAGAGCTGTCATTTATGGTGGGTATGTGATTGCATGACAACTGCATGCCATGAGACTTGCGATTGTCTCTGATGATGAGCCCGAGTGGAAATCTGAAATGTTAAGCAGAACAATTATTGACTGAGGTGTCGTTTCGTCTTTCCCTTCTCACCTGTTTCCGGGATTTCTTATTTTCAGTTTTATCTGCAATTGTGAACCACGCTGCATTACCAGGCCAGGATGCTGGCTTTTGGATGCGTACCACTAAGGCCGCCAGCAAAAATCATACTCGCTAAAGTGACTGCTTAAGTAATACAACTGTTCCCTTGATTTTTGCATCCTTTTAGCTCAAACATATTTTGTGGAAAAATATTCTACCTTTCACTCGATTTTATGGTAAATTGCTCTCGCACCCTATCTGCCGTTTCACATGCTTTTAGAGTTCCGAAACTATAAGTTATACACTTCCAAATTAAGGAAATTCATGCATTCCTCTATGCCATAAAAATGCGATATAAAATTGCTCAATGGATATGGAGCAGGTTCTATACTCCCTAGGAAGATTTAATAAACGAATAAACATGACGCTACCTGAACAGGCATTTCACAGTTTTAATAGTATTCAGGATTACAACGCTTCTGGTATGAAACCTACTCTTTCCTCGAGTGAAAAAAAACTTGATAAAGATGCAGTTTACTCAAAAAATACCAAAGAGGGCGATATTTTTAGAGTGGTTTTCACAGATTTACAAGGTCATCATGGGAAAGCTCATGCGACTCGTGTGGTCATTTTCAGCTACTGGAAACGCATACCTTCTAGAGTCGGCATCCTGAGGTGACTGATATATCTGGGGTTGTGCTAGAGGGAGCTCAGTATTACAACGTAGCATAAATAATCCTTCTATGCGGAAACTACATCTTAAAATATAGATTATTTAGATTATTTTTTATACTATACGCAATGTCACACTCTCGGTATAAATGGCTGGCGACGGCCAATAAGCCAGAAGCGGCCAGAACACCTTTCTACCATTAAGGGCTCGAGAGATAGAGCCCTTAAGGCACAACGGAACGAGTGAGTTCCGTATTAACGATCGGTGAGCGCCCCCTACCATTCTATATTCCCAATCGAAAACCGGCAGGGCAGCGGGCTCGTGGCCCGGTGGGTAGAGGCGTGGACTTCTAAACCAACAGGTCGCGAGTTCGAGGCTCGGGTGTTCTACACTTCGCGCTTGGGTATGGCTGGCTGACGACGGCTAATAAGCCAGAAATAATCATTCCAGTCTCCCTTGTCTTTGTCGGTAATACCATTCTGCCTATATATCATGCGCCGCTGTGCGGCTGCTGTTTGGGCTCGATCGAGAGCCCTCAAGGCACAACGGAACGACTGAGTTGCGTATGAACGATCGGTGAGCGCCCCCTAACATCACATACATATATAGGCAGAATGTTACTAACGATAAAGACTAGGGAGACCGGAGTGATAATTTCTGGCCTATTAGTCGTCATCGGCCAGTTATGCCAACCCCAATTGTGGATCACTTGAGATTCGAATCCAAGATCTGTCACGACTGATATTTCCGATCACAATCGACAGGGCAACGGGGCATTCCAGTCTCCCTTGTCTTTGTCGGTAATAACATTCTGCCCATATCATGCTCACCGATCGTGTTATGGAACTCACTTATCCTGTGGTGCCCCAGGGCTCTTTCTCGAGCCCAACCAACAGCCGCACAGCCGCGCGTAATATAGACAGAATAAAACTAACGACAAAGACAAGGGAGACTTGAATATATGCATATGAATTGCAATACAGGCATCTCAAACAATTTAATTAAGAGGAGAAAATTATTCAGAAAACGGTAACTTTTATGATGTGAATTTTCGAGACTGGACCCCCAGCTCGTCCTCAGACTATAGACGCACAAAAAGAATTAACTTCTTAGCTGTCTCTAAGAAGAATTTAACGACTGGTTAAGGTCTGTACCGATACGTGTAAATTGCCTTTTGTCACCTCCTGGGCATTGGTTGCGCCAGTATGAATTCGTCCTTGATGGTATTTATTTGGCTTCTAAATCGATATTCCGATCGATGCAAGTCCCATCTGAGTGCATTGCATCCAGGAATTTGCGGCTTTCCTTGTTCCGTAGCCGCCAACAGTGCGAGTGTTCTACCACACAAATTTGTGCCCAGTGTCCAGCGTGTGCTTGGCCATTTGGGATGGATGGTCGCGTTTCTTTACCGCTAACTGATGTTCATGTATACGGATTGAGACGGATTTCCTAGTTTGACCACAGTAGACGGCATCGCAACTAGCATATGGGGTTTCGCAGACAACACCTTTCTGTCAAGGTATCTAACTTGTGTGCGTAAGGTAGTTGACGGCTGATGTGCTATGTGCATCTGATGTTTTTTTAGCTGTCTTTCGAAAAGTTCAAATGCATTTTTCGTGTGTTGGGAGTTCGACGGATGATTGGTTTCGGTGTACGGGCTACCGTAACACATATACACGAGGAAAAAGTAAATGTGATTTTTAATGAGTGAGATGTATGCAGCAGAGATTCTTAACCGACAGCCCGTGCTCTCTCGAATTTAGAACGATTTTCGATTACTCTTTATATGTACAGTCGATGTACTGTCCCATGAAATGCTTACTGGAATTCTGAAGTGTGTTTTCACTTCGGAAATACTACTTACGTAGGATTGTCCCAGTAGTTATCGTATCGCGCAATGTGAAGATATTCCAGTCACCTCAGAATGCCGGATTTCGAACGGACTCCTTATCTGCCGCCTGCATAAACGACATGCAACGAAATGACTACTTAAGTAGTGTGAAGTTTTCCGATTGATTTTTGGTGCCCTAATAAATTGAGATAGATTTTGTAGGAAACAAGCCGAAAAATATTTTTCTTGAACTCATTTGTTGAAAACTTACCTCTTTATTAAATTTTGTACTAGACGGGAGAGTATCTTTCGGTTTTAGAAAATTTCTAATTATGAGATTTTCCAGGAGCATAAATGCCCTGTTATGCAGTACCGCACTAGCGCATAAAATGGACGGCATAATCCATATCCATTACAAAATTTTATGAGCCATACATGTACTCTCCATAATAGCATATAGAAATGTATGATTTTCTCTGCACGAAAAACATATAACTTCTATTTTGGAAACCCTGAATTCAATTAAAACAGCAGATCGGGTTCAAAATTATTCAGGAATTCAGACGATTTTTCGAACCGAAAGACACTCTTCTAGAATTTAGTTTGTAGAAAACATACTTTGTTATCAGATGACTACACGAAAGAATTATTCTGTGCGTGTTTTCTATTAAGTATATTTGAATGTTGTTAGGGTATCGAAAGTAGATAGGAAAACGTCATGCTAATTAAGTAGTCACTTGTACGGTACCTAGTTTACACAGACGGTCGATGTTGAGCTCGTCCGAAGTCCGACTGGGCATTATGCGGCATGGCAATTGATATAACAACCCCACTTAGGTAATATTTTCGATTTAAAAACACTTAGAAATTTCAGCCAACATTTCATGAAATTGCACATCTACTGTATATGTGTTGTAAACTCGCCTTAATAACTCATTAGGAAGAAGCGTAAAAAATGTTTCATTAAATGTTTGAACTACCGTTAATCGTCACTGAAATAAAGAGTCTTTTGGTTGTAGAAAAAAACGAAGGAAGTGCACGATTCCACCTGCCTTGACGCAGCTGTTTTCCTTTCGACTTCAGCGAGTCTACTATTCCAGTAGTTATATTTTACCCCAATCAGAGACTTCAGATTAAGTGAGGATATCCTTTGGATGACGTTACTTGCATGGATGGTTTTTGGAGCAATATGAAGATCAGCTTCGGGGCACGGCTTTAGCCACAACCTAAAAAATGTAAGCCGACATTAACACTTGCCTAATAAATTTACTAACAAATGCTCCCTCTAAGCACAAGGGAAGTAGAGCACGAGTTTGTTATCGGCTAGTCCCTAGCGTTAATTGAGCACAAGTTAAAGAGTTGTCCTTCTGACCGACAATTTGTTGAAAACAAGCGTCACATGAGTGACCAGAATTTATTCCAATTAACGGCCGCGTTAGAGGGAGGTTTAGCCTATAAGTCGGACAGTGGACACTCATCTCCGAACTGTGAACTCGTCTCTCGCAATAACCACCCTCACTTCAGAAAAGCCCTAACGGCGATGACCCAGTCAAAAAGATTTCAGTGGTGATAATTTATGAACCAACTTCCTCCTTAATGGGTGATAATCAGATTCCTCATGGACGTCGGTGTAGACTTATGTGTCTGGATGGGGAGGACTGAGTTTCGGCTAAGAAACGGAGTCAAACCGGCCTAAAAGCGTTTTAAAATGTCCCTCGTCGGTTAGAAGTGATATACACCATGGACAAGTCGACTTTTACGACTGTTTTTCGGTTCTCTTTCCACTCAAGTGACCGTTCGGACTTGAAAACGCTCGATTGAGCATTTGAAATTGTTTTCCTCTGCGTATTCACTTGCTGCTTGCGTATGTGCTGCACGTCACTGCCACGGTGCATGCCGACCACTAATTTTATTCACAATGGCATTACCCACAAAGGCACGGGAGACTTAAATGGCCACTTCTGGCTCATTAGCCGTCGTCAGCCAGTCATACCCAACCCCGAAGTGTGGAACACACGAGGCTCGAACTCGCGACCTGTTTGTTAGAAGTCCACGCCTCTAACCACTGAGCCACGAGCCCGTTGCCCTGTTGGTGAGCACCCCTACCATTGTGTATTCCCGGTCGAAACCGACAGGACAATGGGCTCCTGTTCAGGTGGTTAGAGGCGTGGACTTCTAACTAACAGGGCGCAATTTCGAGCCT